CGAGTTCTTCACTTTCAAACGTGGCAAGTGGAATTCCTACTAGGTAAAAAGGCAAAAAGAGGGACTGAAGATCACATAAGCCGACATGATAGTACGGTGGTGCGCATGAGAGTGCCGGTGCCATTGCGTGTCTTAGGATAGGCTATTGCGAGGCATGAATGCTACAGAACAGAGCTGCTAATTTCATCCTTTCATAATTGTTGTTTTTTGGCCTCTTTGTCGCACTGGAAAATGTATAATTCCTTCCCCATTCAACGTTGTAACTACATTGCAGTCAGTACACCTCTGCCGCCTGACCGCCAGTGGATCATGGTTCGTCACGTAGACCCGGAGAAGCCAATAGGTATTGTTTTATAGCACAGACATTTGTGTACATCTTCTTAAGCTCGCTTATTTTGCGCCGACGTAAGGACTTCTACAGAACTTTCCATGTTTGTGTCTGTGTGTGGTGTGCGTGGGGGATGGGGGCGAAGGATGAAACATTCTACTTTTAGAGCTAAATTTGTCTTCGGAGAATCACTGGAGCGTCAAATTACAGCAGGATTTGTCCGTTTTGTTGCTGCCATATCCAAAAAACAAAAAATTTTTTAAACTTCCGTGCAACTGAGGAAAGGGGCAAAGAGACCCATCTGCTACCGTGTGCTTTTAATTTTTTGTGCATTTTGTGCTGTGTAACAATAGCACAAAACGCATATTGTCACGAGGTTGTCTGTGTGTGCTTTTCTTCGCAACAACTTGTCAGCAAATTTCAAATCAGGAGCTACAAAGGGTAGGAAGCTGAAAATTTAGGGGAATGCTCCCCAGCCGCATTTGACCCCGCCAGTTTAAACTCAGTCTTCTCGTACCCGCGGGTAACAGTTTTGACGGGGAAAATTATTATCTCGGAAATCACGGAAACTAGGAAGCTGAAATTTTATCGGCATGTCCGTCGCCCACGTGCCACCCAGAAAATTTGAATCCAGTTTTCCCGTGCCCGCGGGTAACATATACGGCCTCGTAAAATTTTTGACGGGCAAATTATTGTCTCGAGAATCACGGAATCTAGGAAGATGAAATTTTGGCGTGACGTCCCCTGCCCACGTACTACTCTGCAAATTCTTATCGTCCCCTTGAATGTTTTGGTAGGAAAAGTCATTATCTCGGGAGCCAGAAGGGCTATGCGGCTGAAAGTTTCAGGAGGATGTTTCCTGCCTAAGCAGGGACTCCACAAACTTGGATTCAGTTCCTAAGTATGCCGATGTCTCACGTACGACTACGTGAAAGTATTGTCGCAAAAAATAATTGAGAGCAGAAAATCAGGAGGTTGAAATTTTGGAAGGATATTCACCCTTCGAGGTTTCAAACTCAGCTTTCACGTACCGTCACGTGAAATTTTTGGTGGGAAATTCCGCAACTTCTGAACTGTTTTTGCAAAGCAGTGAGTATCATTAACGGGCAGTCTTTCTGTCGAAGGAATTGCATAAAACGCATGACCGTACCGTCTGCCCTGGTGCGCGCCGCTATTTATTTTCTGTCTCTAGTGCGCTGTGCTACTCCGGAGTGCTGCCACAGCTGCTCATCCTAGTGCTCAGCTAGTCTCACAACCATTGTTTTTTGTCTTATCCTGTTCTTGTGTAAACTCAATCTTGCCTGCTTTTAGCCACGTTTACGGTGTTGTGCTACAATGTTCTGTGTGATAAGTACGCAACAAGCAATCTTTATTCGTACTGTCCCACATGGGCATTGAGCTGGGAATACCGCAGGGCGGCAATTTTAAAGGAGATCCGACACTACGAGGCCGATATCATCACCTTACAGGTTTTCTAACTGCTTGCACTGTAATCATTTTCTTTTTTTTTTTCAGTATCAAAGAAACAGTCGTACTCCTGTCATTTTTTTCCTCCTCTATCTTCCTCTTGTCCCCTGTGCATTTTGGAAGCGGAATTACTGGGTACAATATCTTCCTCGCGTTGCTGATTGTCTATGAACGTTGGCGTTACTTGCGCGAGTGAAAACAGTTACGTGGGCTACATCCTAAAAGTGGTTGCGGAGGTACAGATGAAACT